ATACAAATTTGTTGACAGTAAGCTGCAAATTACTACTTATTTAGCATTGGGAGGTGTACTTGACTCTTGACAGACAATCCAGAATGAAGTGTCTTTGTGAAGAACCTATGACTTCTCCTTCCACAATTCGGCTTGTTTTTTCCGTTTTCTTTCACAGTGTTCAGCAAGAATTTGAATGTAGCAATTTTGATTAATATTTTGTTGGACCTTGAGCGATCCAGTGAAGGTGCGGAACCCAATGAATATTGGAAAAAATATAAAATAAATAATACTATAAACTCATGATATTGGCCAAATAACTTAGTCTTTTCTTTTCTGTTCCTCCTCACCTCTTTCATCCTCTGGTATTGCAATGCCTTTTTCTCCTCTGACCATTTCTTGCCATCACTCTTTCCTTCTTTTCTTTCCACTGCAAGAACTCTTAATTTGGTTAACTCATTTTCTAAATTCAAACCCATCCAAAAAAATCTTCACATGTTGTCTCCAGTTTAGCTATTTTGTTCTTAATATATTCCCTAATTCTCTAATTGCCTATCCCCATTGTAATTTACCCATTCCTCTAAATACTTGAATTGTTTTACTATCTTTATTTCTCTATATTTTGTTTTAATCATTTTCCTGTTGCTTTATTATTTGTCATTATTTTGGTCTTTGTAGACAATATTTTTAATCTACTTGCAAGTTATGTGTCTACCATGTGGTGGCACTTATATACAACTGCTAGGTTTGTGAGTGGTAGTAGTAATAGTAGTCTAAAAGGTTTCGTTTTAGTTTTCACCTTGTATATTTCCCAACACAGACTAATAAATAAATTAACACTGCATATATGATATAATATTTAATATATTATAATAACTCAATATTTTTACAAATAATATGATTTCTGCAAGATCATTTCATGTTGTAGCGATACTTCCAAAAGAAATAAGAGGTTGTTAAATGAAAAAAAAATTATAAGAATATTGATATATGAGACTGAACTTTATAATTAAAAAATCTCAAGGTATGGGATACTTACAATCACACTCAGACAAACTGAAATTTACTACCCTAACACTTTGATTTTAAAATAAAGTCAAGGATGAATTGGCAAGCTAACCTTTTTTCTATAGACACTGTTTCTTCCTTTGTGTCACTGAAATCATTTGTATTCAAACATTATTACTGCGTTTTACCCACTAGAGCTCGGATCCCATCTCACATCCTTTCTTCTATCTAGTTAAACAACAACTGAACTCCTTTGTTCATACCCTAGCAGCCATTTTCTTCATTGGGTGAACTCCATAGCATCCATTTTCTTTTTCTTGAACTGGTGTAACTATTTTTCAAATTTAAACATCTGATATTAACAGAACTAGATTAGCTTGCTTTGGGTGGGGTGGCCGAACAGGCTAACGCTTGTACATAACACCGCCGTTGCCCGGCAACCTAAAATTTGAGAAAAATGATAAAAAGTAGTAGTGATAAGTTCGCGTACCGAAGCCGGGGGAGTTTTTAATATCTCCATCCACATCCCCTGGCCCTGGAAAAACCCGTATATCTTTAAAGGCGATGAAGGAGATCACCCAAAAAAAAAAAAAAAGATTAATTTACTAAACCATTTTTACCAACTTCCAATAAAGGTGTGTATTAAAATTTATATATGTATAATAACTTAAGTTCCACTAGCTAAAAAAAACAAAAACCTGTACCACTACAACCCATGAAGGGTCTTTGATTCCGTATTATTTAGGGAAAGTACTGTTTCTTAGTCAAGAATTGTGTATGGAGATGATTTGGCTGAGATTACGTTCAACCGCCAGGAGTTCTCTCTTAACTAACTATTTAATTAAGGCTATTCTCTTTATGGAGGCTGGGTGTGCCCCAGGAGGGTCCCCTGAGCCCAAGTTCGATGAAACAGGCTAAATAATTTTCCTGTCATGGGCCGAAATTCGAATCTGAGACCTTGAGTATTGGAAGATCAATGCCTTACCATCTGTGGTTTTCCCAGATCCATCTAAGTACTGTCCATGCCTCACCTTTGTTTCGGTAGCTAAAATGCAATAAAATTAGGGTGATTTGATGAGGAAAAACAACCATGGTATCTGAACTAACATTAGTTTATTATTCTCCCTGTTCCTATATAAATAGATAGATAGAAAATAAACTTTATTCTGGGACAAAGTTCCTTAAGAAAACAATTATAAACAAAAAACAAAACCATATCTGGTCAAAAACTACATTAATAATTATTAATCAATAAATATTGGTGAACGCTCGCTGAAACAAATAGCTCAGAGGGGTAACAGTATAAATAGATCTGTAAGTCGTTAGCGTATAGATGGTGTGAACAGTTGTAGATGGAATTGGGAATATCATTTATATAGGAATTAGAAAGGAAATGGAAAATTCTCGAACCCTGGGTCACTCCAGAGGACAATTTAAGGAAGGAAGATAAAGATTGGGTCAGAATACTAACTGCTTCAATCCAGTCAGAAAGGAAAGGAGTTGCTCCTAATTCGGACATTATTTCTGCATACAAATGCTGATACCTTCTTATCTCTAAGTATTTTTTCCTCCCTCTGGGTAGTTCCATATTTGTTAAAGCACAATTTTCTTTTTGTATTTTTGCCTACTTCTTGGTGCTGAGAATTCTCCACTCTTTTAATTGAAATCCCAATATCATACATGGATGTCCCTATAGTTTGCCTAACAGTTACTGTGCAATTAATTTAATGTATATTTGTTTTTCATATTCTTCCTGAATTCTGGTTTATTCATTATGCATAATGTGTTTTTTTTTTCCACTATGATTTGCCTTTTATAAGTTTACTGTTAAAAAGAGCTCCTAAAATTCAATAAATTGAATGAAGCTGGTCGTATGAAAGATTTTTTCATCATTCACATTATGTTATATTTTTTATCTTAAAACTTCATGAAAATTGGAAATCAATTAATAAGGTTTTACACTTACCTTTAAAAAATATTAATCCTATGTTACAATAATAAGGCTCCTTAAGTATAAGATATTCTTCAGTTCTAAGTAATTTCAACTGTATATTTTTTAGTTTAATAACAAAAAAAATATAGTTTTATTCTTTCTAATGGTTTATTATAGAAATATCTACAAATCTATTAAATATAAATGATGAGACAGTTGAGTTTAGCTAATAAATTTTGATGAATGAAAACTAATCTTTAATTAAAATTACATTTACTAAGGAAAATACAAGTTCAGAATTATTACTTATTATTGTGCATGGTGTGAATTTTATTTTTATAATTTTGGCGGTTATTCATTTTTTTTTTTTTTCTGAGAAGCAACTGTTTTTATTCTTTTGGGATTTTTCTTTAATTTTGAAATTGTTGGTTTTGTTGTGTTTTTGTTGTGTTTCCATTATTATCTTTTTTCTGAGAAGCAACTGTTTTTATTCTTTTGGGATTTTTCTTTAATTTTGAAATTGTTGGTTTTGTTGTGTTTAATTATTTTTAATGTGTTTATTTATGATTGAAAAATGTTTTGTTTGATCAAAAGTATTCATATCTTTCTGTTGGATTTTTTTTTTTTTTTAATTTATCAGCATCAAAATCAGATATAAATATTCAATACCAGGAATGGGTGGTTCATTTGTCCCACCTTTGTACTGCAGCTTTTGTAAAAAATCAATAGTTTAAAACTTATGTTTAAATGTTTTAATTATTATCTAATTTAATCTTTTAAAAATATTAAAATTATATAACTAACTTAACGAACTACTCTAATCATCCCCCAAGGTTTGTTTATAGTAATTAATAAGTTTTGTTTTTTTGTGTACTTTACAATTGAATAATTATTTTTAAAAAACCAATATCCTATTTAAAAGTATTTAGAATTAGAGTGCTACAAATGGGTAGATTCTCTACAAGCCTTATCATGTCATCTATTTATCTGTATCACATTTGCTGAATGTATATTAAATGTACATTTGTAAATTTCATAAATAATAATAAAAAAGAAAGTATTTAGAAATTTTTACATCCAATATTTAGTATAAAAAAACATTCTTCTTCAAGTATCGCATAGAGAATGAATTTATATGATAGTATATTTAAGTTTTAGACGATTTTGAAATAATAAAAATTATTGCAAACTCTTTTTTTGATTTAAAAAAATATATATGATATTATTGATGGTAACATATTTTGTTGACCCAAAGTTTTTTTAGAGCGGTCCCCAATCTTGTTGTCTCCATGCCATGTTCAATATCGACTACCAACCTGCTTACAGAAATTCACCATTTTCAACATAGCATGTTATGTTGACTACTAATTTGGCTACCAAGTTTATTGCAGGCCCTAATGAAAAGCATTGAACAGAGTACTTGCAAGAAACTTTTCTGACTTATTTAATTCATAAAAAAAGAAATTCTATATTTTTTTCATTAAATATGTTAGGGAGTAATTATTTGGAACCATGCATGTCATCTACTTACTTGAAAAACTGCCAGAACTACTTATATTTGTTTTAATAAAGTATAAATTAATTGATTCTTAACAATTTGACCATCACATTTTCTTTGCCTTAGTTAAGACTTGCCTTGATACATTAATATAGACTGGGACACAAAGGCTCAAATAACAGGTTGTTGATAGCTTTAAAATTTTACCGAAATGTGTTTCTCATTTGATGTAATTTATTTTCAATTTGAAATAGGGAAGAATAGTCCAGTTTGTTTACATAAAATTTGGATTTCTTTAATGTTACCTAATGTACTTGTGTTCAAAATAACTTTATTTTTCATTTAGTAGCTTCCTATTATTTTATTTTTTTAATGCAGCATTTTCATAACATTTATCAATTATTATTAGTGCTTTTTATATATCAATGAATATTTGTAAATCAATAATTTTTCAAGGAAATTTTTTTGGGAAACATTTTATTTTGGTTAAAATATTTTCAGCTTCATAAAATTGTATTTTTTATTGGTTTTATAAATAGATATATTTAATTGTGATTACATATTTACTGTTCATTTATTTAGGGTTTAGGGACATTGAAGAAGGGTAAACCTGGATGTGAGAGTCAATCACAAGAGAAGCTTACACAGGAAGGTGGTGATTTAGAAGCTGGCATAGTTCAAATTTCTTCACCGGGTAGGAAACGAAAGACATCCCAGAACACTTGTAGTCATGGAAGCTTCTTCTTAAGAGTTGGAGCAATAGGTATAAAACAAATTATTGTTATTCGTATTTGTCTTCCCTGTCCTCTACCTTTGGCCAAAAAACGTAACACTGATTTATACAATGTTTATGCTACTTAGTTAATGTACCAATCAAGTGACATAATTCACAATCTAAACTTATTATTCCATAATTAAATAATAGTTAAATATTCCATAATTCCTATATGATGATATAGTATGTTATTTTGTTATCAGTTTCATAATTGATTATTAGAATCGTTGAAACATACAAAGTCAACCTTGAAATGGTATTAACTCCCTTTAATACCAGCAATTGTTATGATGTTTGAATCAATTTTTGCTTAAATTGGAAATTATAGTCATTGTTTGCTTAAAATAAAAATTCCAATAAATTTAACCGCTTTATAATCTTCATAATAAAATTATTTTTATTGAGATTCTGCATTATTTAACTTTAGTGAAGGAGACAATATTTGTGACAAATCTGATATTGAAGGAAATTAGTTGACTATTCTACATATCATGGGTGATAAATAGTCAGGACACAGTAATTTTAAAGGTTTTTATTGGTGGCGATGTTTCAAACCAAACATGTGGATCATCATCAGGGCGTGTTTCGAGCACTGAAGGTATTCAAGTGCTCGGACCAATAAAAATTTTTAAAACGACTTTGTGCTGACTATTTATCAGCCATGACAAATCTCAGAGTTTTTTAAATTTCACAAAAAAAAAGTTTTGTCTTTCTCCCTCTACCTACCTGAAAAACGCAATGCAGGAAACTTCAGAACATTTTACTTTTTACTGCAGGAAGAAGAAAGACCAATAAAGAACTGCTTACAGAAACTGGTCAATCAATATTCCATGATATGAAGGCACGGAGGTTAAGATGGGCGGGGCATGTAGCTCGTAGCTATCCATCTGGAAGCCTCTACGTAGCAATGAATGCCTTAATAAAAGGCAAAGACCACGTGTAAGGCTAAAAAGCACATGGATAGATAGAACCAACAAAGATGCAACAGAGCTGTGTGTAGATAAATGGAAAGAAAGAGCTCAAGACAGGCGGAGATGGAGAAGGCTTGTTATGGCGAAAAAAGATCTACATGGTCTGTAATGCCAACAGAAAAAAGAATCTAAAAGGAGAGTAATGAACAATTTATGACAGATTTCAGCTAATAATTATAAAATAATCTTTTAATGAAGAAACTATACATTAAAAAAATAAGACGGTAGATTAATTTAGTATTTGTGTAATGTCTGTGAATCATAATTAATCTTGTTTTCATGCATAAATATATACTTAAATTTAAACATACAAATAAAAATTTTAATAGTTTTAATTGAAGAGAAGGATGGTTGGGGTGATCACTCAAAATAAAAAATAGCAAAAATAAATAATATTTATTTTTACATTTGCCGACATTTCGGCCAAAAGTTCAGGCCTTTATCAGAGCTGAGAAAAGAACTAGATAATAATAGGTATGAATTTTATATAACTTTATTATATAACTTCTTATTCCTTTTCTCTGTTTTAGATTATTTCTAAGATTACCATTTTTAGTTCTTATGTTACCTTATTCTGATTGTTTATTTCATTAGTCCCCACTTTGTTGCCGTTATTATTATTATTTATCTCTTAGTTTCCTGTTATTGTTCTTATTATTGTTATTATTCTCCTTACTTTGTTTTACTTTAATGTTCACTCTAAATACTTAATTTACTTTAAGTTTTTCTACCTATATTTTTTAGTCTATACCTTTCACCTTTTAATTTTAATTATATTCAATGTTTATAGTTTCTCATACCTATTGTTCTTTTCTCAGCCCTGATAAGGCCTGAACTCCGGGCCGAAAGTTTGGCAAATATAAAAATAAATATGATTATTTATTTTTGCTATTTTTATTTTGACTGATCACTCCAACCATCCTTCTCTTCAATTATTCACTATAGTCAACCATCAATCCACAATTTAATAGTTATATATTAAAGCTAATATTTACTAGACATTGATTTGAAGCCTTACAAACCTGTCATATCAATAGGCGATTCATTTTCCACATGACAGAATCTGCATAGAGGATTCTTTGTCAATTGGGATTGAACATGTGATAATTTAACCTACTGTTACCAGTATGGATCGTTGTAAGTTTTTTGCTCTAGCTAATTTAGCAGCAGACTACTTCTTTTGTCACAAGGCCCTTTAAGGAACAGCTTTAAGTGCCGCTGTTCCTTTTCAGAACAATATTCTCTAAATTTTTCACCATATTGATGATTGATCCTTCTTTTGGCAGTGCTAAGACTGATTCCGCAGACAGATTCAGGAGTTATGTGAGTTTATCTGAGCCTAACCTGGCTAGTTTATCAGCCTCTTTGTTCCCTGGAATGCCCGAGTGACCCAGGCACCCAGGGTAGTAGGTTTATTAATAAAATAATAATAATAATAAAAATCAAAAATATACCATTCCATCAGCCCCTGCTGAAGGCAGTGTGGCGACTGGATGTCTGATATGGGTCAGGTAATAGAAAACTGACACGTAGAAAGGAACCAGGGGGTTGTACAAGTAGTTGCTTGTCTGTTGCCAAAAATGTATAAGTGGGTGAGATAAGGAAACTTATAATACTTTATAACATCAAAATAAAAAAAAAATAATAATGTATATAATATTGATCATATTTTTTTAGCTTTTGGACTTGCCACAATGATATACAATGGTCTCGAATTTGGAGCTTTTTTTGAAATTCCATTTACATCTCCATGTTACCAGATCCTTAGAGGTGTTAATCCTGTGCTTCAAATGGTATTTACATTCATGCAGATGTATTTCATTTTTATGAACTCCAGAGTAAGTTAAATTACATTTTAAAACTTTGTTAGCACTCGTCTTCTATATAAAATATATGTATTTCATTTATATTTCAGCTAAACATCCACAGGTTTAAAGTAATTGCTCGGTTTGGCTTAATGCATATTGTAGCTACCAATTTATGTGTTTGGATAAGGACACTGGTCTTAGAAAGTCTGAAAGAAATATCTGGTTATTTAGAAAGGAATTTAACCACTGCTTCACCTTCAACAGCTAGTTTTGCTAATGAGTTTTCATCATTTGGACGTCCTGCAGGTAATTGACATTTTAAAAATTTATTGAAGCAGTTTGTGCTGTAATTGCTAATAGTTATTATTGAGTTTTCTTACATTAAAACATGTCTTTAGTTATTCTGATGGCTAAATGAAGTAGATCACTTTGATGTCTGAAAAAAAATGGTCTTAACATTTTAGCAATGTTGATTAACATATTATTTTTTAGATTACTTAATAATATAAGAGGGAATTATCATAATAATTTTATGTACTCGTTTATTATGATATTAAGACATTTGTAATATCTGACTAAATTAAATAATTATATATATATATATATATATATATATATATATATATAATATATATATATATATATATATATATATATATATATATATGTATGTGTGTGTTTGTATTTAAAGTACCTGTTGTCATAAGATATGTACATATGCAAGATATATTTATGTTTATAGAATAGAATAGAATAGAAAAATAATTTTATTCTGGGACGAAGTCCCTTCAGAATAACAAAAAATACAGAAATTAAAATTTTATATCTGGCCAGATAAAAAAAAACACAAAAAGTTAAGATAAAGATAAATCAGTAAAAAAAAAGAAAAAAAATATTAGTTATACATACTATATACAAAATAAAAAAAAATCTATATACAAAACTCCTGAAACCATACTAAGATACTTAAAACTATGTACAATGTTAAAATATAAATAAACCCTTTTAGAAAAAATAAAAAATACAGAAAAAATAAATGTAAATTCTTCTTAACAGTAAAATCTGTGTTTCTGTTGAAAAAAAAAGAAAGTCGAATCTATAATAAGTTAATGATGATATGATAGAGGAATGTACCTAGGAAATATTGTCAGGAGAGGAGATAAAAGGAGAGGAGATATGCTAGATCCTTGGGCAACTCCAGAGGATAAAGGCAGGTAGGCAGATAGTGGTTGATTAGGAATGGAGACTGCTTGGGTGCGTTGAGAGAAAAGATTGGAACCAAGAGGTGGAGCTATTGGAGAAGGAAAGTGATTTTAGTTTGTTGAAAAGGATGGGATGGTTAATGGAATCGAAGGCTTTAGAGAAGTCAAGAAGTATAAGGACAGTTAATTGTTTATTATCTATTGCAGTCTGAACATCATTGGTAATTTTGATTAAGGCGGATTGTGTGGAGTAGCTAGGACGGAAACCAGATTGAAGAGGATCAAGTTGGTTGGACTTTTCGAGGAAATTGGAAACTTGGGATTGCACCAATCTTTCTAGGGGTTTTGAGAGATTGGAAAGAATTGAGATTGGGCAAAAGTCTTTGGGAGAGGATGGATTAGGCTTTTTATTGAAAGGGAGTACAATGGCTTTTTTCCAAGAGGAAGGTAATATTGAGTTCTATAGGGAGAAATTGTAGATGAAAAGGAGAACTGGGATTATTTTGGGGAGACATAATTTTATCAATTTGACAGGAATGCCATCTGGCCCTATGGAATTGGTGTGGGATTTCATTACTGCGGTTAGTAAGTTAGTCGGGGAAATGTTGGAGAAATAAAGGTCATCATCATTAAATGATGACTCAGGAGCAAAGTTGGAAGAGGAGGGAAGAGAAGAGGTAGAGGAGGCAGAAATAAAATGTGAATTTAAATCGTTAGGTGAAACGGAAAAGACTAGTGAGGAAGGGGATCTGGAAGTTTCACAGAGGGAAAGTTTGCGAAGCCATTTAGATTTGGGATCTGGGGCAGATGAAAGGGCTTCATGGAAGTAGGAAGCTTTAGTTTGCCGAATTCTTGTTTGTGTCAAGTTGTGGAGCACCCTAAATGCTTGATAGTCATCTGTAAGCCTGGTACATCTAAAGCGTCTACGGGCAGCATCACGCCTCTTCTGCAGATCCTTAATTTCTTGACACATCCAAGGTGCAGGCCGGCGGCGAAAGGTTTTTATGGGAGTATGGGTGTTAAGGATATTGAGGAGATTGGAAGTCAGGATCTCAACCATGGAGTCGATGGAGGAGCAGGAATATATTTCGTTCAAGTCTAAGGTTTCAAGGTCAGGTAGCATTTTTTCACGGGTGAGAGTGTCTATCTGGCGGAAAGTGAAGGTTCTCGGATGAATCAGAGGGGTTTGGATATTATATGTTATTAGGATCATGTTGTGAGACGATCAGAAGGATACTGGCAGTTGAGAAGAGAAGAGGAGATTTAGTTCGGAGTCTATAATGAAGAAATCTAACCAAGTGTCAGCCTTGTGGGTGTGGTGAGTAGGATAAAAAGGAACAATAAAGAGATGGAGGGAAAAAAAATAGGTTTTCTAGATAGGTTTTGTCTTTGGAATTAGAAAGGAAATTGGTATTGAGGTCACCGGCGATGATTATTCTAGGATAGAGGGGAACAAAGTTGAGTAGGATTGATTCTAAGGACGGATCAAATGGAACTATCAGGTCGTATCTAGTTATTTATATATAAATCTCGAGTTCATTTTTCCACCTGTATTATTTATAAAGAATAAATTACATTTTCTGACAAACACATCATAAAAACAAATACGTCACTCAGGAACTCATATTTTAGATCATTCTTTATTAATTATTGTTTATTAGTTATCACTGTACAAAATAGCATAGCATTTGAAAAAATGTAAACTTGCCATTCACAAATTTGGTCATATATCAATTACAAGTTGCAGCCACTTCACCTTATCTCTTTATCACTTCCTTAATAGTTGTCAATGTGAGCTGTTTGATTTATAATAGATCTCATGTTTCTGTTTTTGGCTTGATCAAAATCTTTCTAACTTGCACTGTTAGATTAAATATTTTATAGTGTTATTTGTGAGGTAGTCAAATCCTTTGACAAGGACTGAATTATTTAGATATTCCATTTTTTTTTTAGAGCCCCAAGCTTTGTTTTATTTTTCCATAATGTTCTTAATAGTATTTTAACATCCAAGTAAACTAGATATAAGCTGAATTATCTGTTCAGTCGCTTAATTTCCAGGTGTGCTCTCAATTAAGGAAAAGTTTCTAATTAAGTTCTACTCTCTTCCTCTTGTTACTGAAAAAATCAATGAAATATAAACAAAATTAACCATTAAATTATGTTAAATAAATATCATTAAAAAAGAAAAAAAAAACTATATGAGAGCAAGGAATATCTTTACGAAAAAAGAGACAAATTAAAATAAAAATATATAAAGCATTGGTACCTTTTAAATTAACATTAAAATTGTGAGAGAAAAAAAAGTTATATTAAATAAAATGAATGCTTGATTGATATGGTTGACTTTTAAGTGTTAACACAGTCTCCTAAACATTTTTTTTAAAGCATTGTTTAAAATATTATTAATGTAATTACTTTCTTTTTACAATTATTTCTTAACAATAATTTAACTGGTTTCAATTTTTTTTAACAAATAAATTTTTTGCTGAGATTAAGGAATGAAAAAACTAATGGAGAAATAGGTTCATATAATAAAAATAATATTAGAGAAATTCATTATTTGTGTGATCATTTTACAAGGTTGTCCATAAATCCTTAAATTTGTTAAAATAGTCTAGCAAACACATTTATCTTAGATTCAGAAAAGGTCTTAATGTATACTATATTATTTTATTTTATTTGATTGAACTGAAAACAGTGAATGAAGAGTTGAGTTACAGTTGGCTAAACTATTAAGGAAGCTATTTAAATTACCCTGATTTTTCAAGTGCTATTGTTTTTGAAAGAGTAATAGCAATCATTTTGAATGTGTAAATTATAACTTGTATTCTAAAAAAAATATGAGTTCTACCAGCTAGATACCTTTAAATGTTAGGTAATAATATTTTTTTTATAATGGCTATTAACAAACCAGTATAAAAACAAAATCAAACCATCGTAATCTCAAACTTTAATTTTTACATGTTTTATTATCATCTTAAAATCAATTTTTTATATTAATCTTAAAATAAATATTGTATTATAGCTGTTTATATAACCATCCTGAATGAGGATTGTCCATTATTTGTGGCATGCTTTTTTTGTTAGCTCCTGAGGGTTTCCGGCCTGTACTGCCAAATGTTGCAACAACTCCCACTACCACCACAACCACCATGACGGCAAAATATTTTCGTCAAACTGTGCAGACACTTGCTACAAGCACGGCCCGCGCAATTCGTTCCACAGTCCTTCCAACCATTATGACAACTACCCCTACTACCACAACAATGAGAACTACCACAACTCCTACCACCACCCATATTTCTACCACACTTTCTACTACACCCTCCACTACCCCATTCCAACCCTTCTTCTTTAACTCAAATTTGCGCAAGAATTTCACTGAAGGTAAAATCTTCAGCTTAATCAGTGTCCCTGCATGAAAAACTAGCAGCTAATGCATTCTGGTGAATACTGTTGTAGGTTTAGTCTATATTGGATGAAATTTTTCTTTATATTATTCATTTATTCTGTCTGCATGGCTAAAGTGATTTATGGTTAATGTCCTTGCATGTCTACTTTCTTGCCTTTAGCTGAACTTTGGTAGTTTTAAAATGTGACATTTCATCAAACCAATAATTAAAGTTGATCAACATCAAAAGGATCATTTATGCTCAATTAAAATAATAAATATAATTCACTTTTTTATAAAAATTTAATGATAAATGATATTGCCGATGTAAGGAAAATACAGAGAACTTTTTAAGAACATAAGAATTAGTTTAAGAGTCTTTCTTATTCTGATTAAAATTCTGACAGCTTAATTCATACAAATGGAATGTAGTTTTTGCAGCATAAGAAAGTTGCAATCTTTTTCATCCTGTCATCTTACCCCAATCAGACACTGTGCAGTTTGGGATTTACACACACATACAGTAAACAAACACAAAACAATCTTAACAAGGACATAACCAGTGCACACCTTAAGGTCACCTTTTCCAAGAAGCTTTTCCGATAGGGGGTGCTAGTCTGGATGCTTAAAGATGGCAGTCCCGTCAGCAGACTAGGGTATGCAGTGAGGGCTATCAGCCCACCTTTCTGAAAAGCAACCCATATCATGATATCTGATTCAAAATAATAATAGTCAATTAAGTAAATAACCTGAAAACCCCAATAGAAATATGAGATATTATACGTTACACAGAGATAATACGTTCTTAGACAACAAAATTATTATCTGTTCACTGATCTGGAGTGCTCTTAAACAGCTCTCAGTTCGACACAGGTATGTTGGTTATGCATAGACATTCATCCAACTCTTTCTCATAGAGTTCTAGAATTTCAGATTCATCAGTTTATTTATGTTAAACCACCTTGTTTTAGATCCAGTCCTGTTTTTTCTGACAATTTTATCTAAGCTCAAATGTGTGTAATGATTAGTGCTGATATATATATATATATCGGATGATGTATATATATAATGATCAGAGCTGATATTCGCACCCCTATAAGTCTTACATCATACAGAGATAATTACAGCCATCTCTCAATCAAAAAATGATCAATTTGATTTACCACTGCCCGATCTTGATCTAGTTATACCCAGGGGGAAATGAAGACTCTTTTATCACCATATGCATCTTTAGATGCAACCAAATTGATCAATATCACTTCATTCTCATTCCTTCTCTCATGCAAGCAATGTCTTTCGATTGTTGGTCCATGCATATTTTTTTCCAACTTTTGCATTAAAACTGTACCGCAACTTCAATGATTTTAATATCACACCAAGGGCAAATTCCTATTTAGAAGATCATAAAATAACCTGTACCACTACAACCCATGAAGGGTCTTGGTTGCAGTACTATGTGAGAAAGTACTGTTACAAGGCCAACGGTTGTGCAGAGGTGATTGGGCCGATGCTCACCATCAGGTTTTCTCCCCATATTAATTATTTAAATAAGGGAACCCACTTTATAGAGTCTGGGTGTGTCCCAGAAGGGTATTCCCCGTCCATAGCTAATTAAAAATTACTATGGATCAGATGGACTCACTGAGCTACCCTGCTTCCCTTAAAAGATCATAGAAGTCTTTTTTTTTATCTTCAGTATGTGCACTGAATTACCATAATGAATACTATAATTATGCAATCTTCCTTAGAGCTGAAAGTACTAAATGATATGTAAGATGAAGAGAGGAAAATACTTAAACAGAAAAAGAAGAGGCAGTATGGAAGAAATAATTGGAGGAAGTGGAAATGTTGAGAAGAAAAAAAAACAATTCCAGGAATTCTACCAGAAAGTAAGGGATAGTTGAAAACCACGCAAGTTCTTCAAGATATAATAACTATCATCTGGATATAAGAAGAGTTACTATTAATTTATAATAAAACTATAATTATCCCAATCCAAAAAAGAGAGACAAGTTGTTATTTAGCAACTATATAGGCATTTCTTTACTACTATCTTCATATTAGGTCTATCCAATATTCTCTTTTAATGCTTATTGCCCTGTGCAGAGAACAATTTTGGCCCATACCAATGTGGCTTAAGGAAAGGAAAAGCAGATGTTGATCAAATTTTCAATCTTTACTCTATTGTGGAGAGAAGACATGAATATAATAGCAAACTGTCATAAAGTTTGAAAAAGTAGCCAACTTCACATAACTTAGTATAATAGTAATGCAGAACAATGCAATCAAACAGGATATTAAAATAGGATTGTTTTGGCCAAGCAGTGCTATTTTGGACTACATAGACACTTTATGAGTAATCACTTTTCCAAAAAATCAAAAATTTTAACTCTATAAGATACTTCCAATACTCCTTTATGATCCTGAGATAAAAGTCAGTGAGTCTTTCACCCATTCAAAGGAGAACCTTTGTTTTTTGAAAGAAAAGTTCTTAATAGAATATTAGACAGGAAGAAGGTAGGCAATGAATGACACAGCAGTTCTCTGATATGTGCAGAGAGAGCTGACATATATATACATGAAGAGTCCAGTGTTGCCCAAGTCCTATGCACAGGAAAGCTATGTGCATAATGAGCTGGCCAAGTGGCTCAGATGAAGAGATGCCTAGGAAGCTGCTGTCAGAACAGCTCTTTGGAAGAAGACAGAGATGGAGCCGAAACTTCAATGTTTGATGGTGTGACAAATAATACTCGAACTATGCTTGGTATCAGGGTTTGGATGGTGTCTGCCAGAGGGAGAGATAATTGGAAGAAACTCGTTTAGGAGGCCAGAACTCATCACCAAGTTGTAGCACCCAACTGACAATTTTTTTTTTTTTTTTTTTTTTTTGGCAAAGGTGACAAGGATTCCATTATACCTATCTTAAAATTTTATCAGATAAAATAAAAAAGCTCATTTACACTCAATTAAAGCAGTTAATATTATTCACTTCTTCTTCTTCAATAAAAAAATAATTAAATTTGAAATAAATAAAAATTATCCCTGAAATTTGGAAAATACTGAAAACATTGTAATAAATTTATAATTAGTATAAGAGTCTTTTCTATTCAAATTACAACCCTGCCTTAGCTTAGTTTATAGATATGAAATATAGTTTATAAAATTGAAATTAATTACAGAATATAAATATCAAGTAAGTTGTACTCTGTTTAATGCATAGTAATATATATAATATTTTATCATTTACAATATAGAGATACAACATATTACTGTTATTATTTATTATATAATATGTTTGTCTCTTATATATTATATATTTGTATTCTTATATAATATATATTTGTCTCATGTATTAAGTAAGATAATTGAAGAGGATACTGTAAGCCATGAAACTGCTGAATAAAAATAAATCGGAACAAAAATACTTATCTAACCTGCTGCTAATACATTTCTAAAACTGCTAAATGGACTTTGTAAAATATTCCTTTGTTAGATAAGAATTTCTTAAAAGCTGGACAGTAGGTTTGTTGAATTCCATGGATTTATACATTTAACTGTAAAGTGCACTTCCTGTAATGAGCAGAGTTTAAAAAAATAAATAAATTAATGCATTACTTAATTACTAACAATATACTTTACTTTCATCAATTTTGATTCAGACCCCAATCTGGAACTGATGCTCTCAGCCAACTGGCTGATCATATCACTAGCGAATTTCTGCAATATGATAATTTATTAGTTGTATCTTTAGATATAATCAAAGCTTTTGTCAAAACCTAGTGGAATGCGATCTTGAGCAGTTTAAAGAAATATAACTTACCAAAAACTAAATATCAATATTATTCAAAATTATGTTTTTGATAGAAAAATTGTAATCCAGACAAACTTATATTAAATCGAACTTAAAAACTTCTCGCGGATCATCTATCCATTTTATCTACGTTATAGCCATCACCTATAACCGAATTATCAACCTTTCTATGGAACATTTTAATGAATACAATTTTCGAAAGAGACAGTTTAATATATCATTAGCCTGTGCTGACAATTTTTTATTACAAAGGCTGGGATTTGTATGCAAATTCTTTTTTCTTTTTTGTTTTGCACTTAAACATGATTTGATAATTTCATAAAATAAATCATTTTAAATTTTTTGATAAATTTGTATACTGCATATTTGGCCAAATTTTGCATATTTAAGCTTTAAATGCATATATAATCATTTGCAAATCAAGTAAATCATTTAAAATAAGATGAAAAAATTAATATTTAACAGTTTTAATTTTTAAAAGATAATCTACTTTTACATGTTAAGAAGCAATAAATTAAGAGAATTGTTTACATTGGTTTCTTGGGATTTAGATACCAAAAGGTAATTTTAAAATTGTGAAAAACTTTATTATTTTTTTTTTAGTACTTTGTTGGTCCACCTCAAGCATTAATTACTGCCTGAAGGTGATAAGGTATACTTCTTATTAGCATTTTGATTCAGTCTTGAAGTATTGTTTCCCATTCCTCTAAGAGTGGTGTATGTAGTTCATTCAGAGTTTGTGGTAGGATAGTCCATCCTGAAATTCATCTTTGAAGTTGATCTCATAAATGTTCAGTGGAATCTAGGACTGAAGAGCAATCAAGCCACCTCATACCATCTCACGCTGTATTTGAGCATTCACCAAACTAGTAAACAGGGAATCATGTTATTGCTCACTAGACCTTCTGGTAACTCTTGCTCATTTGGTATCGCGGTGCATTACAAATTTAGACTAATCTGTAAAAAGTAGCAAAAGGGGGAAATTTTGAGTAATTTATTTTTTGTTTTATTCTCTAAAGTTTCATATTTTATTTTCTAATAATTTTTTTTGAAAAAATTTATTTTCCTGTTGAAATCTGTATACATTTCCTTGTAACAATATTTATGACAGGACTAGGTATATATGTATTTATATATATATATATATATATATATATATATATATATATATATATATATATATATATATATATATATATATATATGTGTGTGTATGTGTCATTTATCATATATATCATATGTGTAGATATGAAATTCAGCCATAGGTGGCTCTAGTTGTTATTGTAGTTAGTGTTAAACCTTAGTATTTTGCCATTTTGTTTCTTTGACAGCTGACAAAGATTTTCAACTCACAACAATACAACTTTCATAAACAGCAATTATTAGTGTTGAAAGTATTGGTTTTTTTTTTCTGCAAACTATGACTTGCAGACAGCATTAGTTTGCTGTTACCATTTAAAAAAATTGCTGCACAATTGCATCAAATGCTTGTCAAACCTTACACTGAGTAAACTTACTCTTGGTAAATCACAGTGCTTTGAGTGTTTAAAAAAATTCAAAAGTGGTAATTTTGAGATAAGAAATGAAGAACATGGAAGACCATCAAAAAAGTCTGAAGACAGCGAATCGGGATCATTGTTGAATGAAGATCACACTCAAACTCAACATCAACTCACGGATCAATTGAATGTGATATCAGAAGTTGTCTCCATACATTTGAAAGCCATGTGAAAGATCCAGTAGGTAGGAAAGTGAGTTCCATATGAACGGAATGAAGGATTGCAATAAAATGAAAAAAAACACCTCTGAAGTCCTTCTTATCTGGTACAAAAGAAAGTCATTTATCCATCGAATCATTAAATCAATTGCTAGGCCAAGTAGCTATGGAAAGAAGACAGTGAATGCTCTGTGTTTGCTGAAATTAGAAGGGTGTGATCTGTTATGAAATGATAAAACCTAGTGAAACCGTTAGTGATGAAGGCTGTCATTAACAAATGATCGATTTTAATCCAGTAATGTGTGAAATATTACCAGAATATCAAAAAATAAAATACTAAGTGATTTATGATAATATGAATCCTAACTTAGTCTTAAGCCATGACATTTTCTTTCCTGTTAGTGAGCAGGAGTGTTACAATCAGCCACCCCCAGAGAAACCTTTCCTCAGTCGCTGTAAACCAACAATTATCTCAACCAACCAACAATTACAATTATCTCAATATTATTTTTAGTTTTTATTCAAAATGTAATCCATAGAGACTTGATCAGATTTTAATAGTGAAATGGTAGTGATAAGAGAAGCTCGTAAGTACATAGAGGCAACTGAAACTACCAATTGGGTTGTGGTAATGGACTTGATGAGTTTATTACTAACTATTGGAAATACTAGACCAACAACCCTACTAGGAAAAAAAAAATAAGAAACGTATGTTCGCTGCTAAGGGATAAGGTTAAACAAATTTATTTTAAAAAAGATTTATTTGGGTCCCTTTGCGTTGCGGGATCACTAGAAATGAGCAGGCCGATCAAGCAGCCAATATGGCAAGAAAGGCAGGCACTGCTCCGGTGGTTCCAATTAATGAAATCCTTTTAGAGGACTAAATAACAAAAATGATGAAGGATGTGTGGAATAATTTGACAAAATAGGTGGGAGATAGATAGGTGGGCCTACTTACTAAGGGAACTAGATCCTCTGACCTGAGAGAGCAAAGAACAGAAGACACATTTTACAAGAAAATGTCTTGGAAAATTTTGATATAGCACCAAACCTGCCAGAAAATTTAAAAGACAACAAAAAAGCTGTTAAAAAAACATCAGTATTCCTAAAAGCAGTGAAACTGTTTAATAGAATTTAATTTGAAGGGGTTGCCAATGACCAATAGAGGTAACAAGAAAAAACAAAACAAATAAATAAATAATACTATAAATATGCAGTAACATTTTTTTTTTAATCCTTCAAACAAATCATTAATAATGATAAAGTGCTATAGATTTTAAATAATTATTTAAATTACATTTTCTTTGTTTTAATGGATACACATTTTTAAAAAATATTATTAGAACATTGAAGGAGTAGCAGTATTGTTTCCAAAATAATCTAATAGTAAGATTGTGAGAAATAGTGTTTGGCTTACCATTACATTTCATTAATCCATATAGAAATTTATTATTTTTATTTTATCTTCTGTAAAATTAAAAAAAAATTAAAATCTTCTGTTGCAGTTTTAGAGTATGTTAAAATTACTTGCATGGGCTTGATTTATTTATCAAATGAACTGCTTTATTTAATGTTATATTTATTGGCATTATATTTTTTTTGCTATGTTATTTATTTGTTGTAAGTTAATATGTGCGAAGAAATAATTTAATACTTTAGCTTTAATTAAAATAAAATAAAGTCTTAATTTGAATGTAAACTCTATGTATGTATATATATCTTTCGATATATATATTTACTATTGCTTTATTGCCTTTGTTTTTGTTATTTTAATGCCGTTGTTCTCGAATCAAAATGAATAATTGATATTAAATGTTCATATATTTTCAAGAATGAGTTAATTTTATTAGTTTTCTCATAGCTTATTTAAAAATGTTAGTGAAATATTTAGATATATTTGATTTTGTGACTGATATTTGGGAACATATTGTAGATTCTAGTTATTTTTTTAGAATTTTAAGGCTTCTATGTCATCAGATTTCAGTTTGCTTAAAAAAATTTCTTAAAGTCCTAATCTTGGTGTATTAATATAATAATTATTACATTAATTAAACCATAATTTGATCAAATGATTTATTTATTTTAATCTTAGATTTGTATGTTATATTTATTGATTAATAGTTAGAGACTCTACAAATATATAACTTCTAATTAGTATTGTTATTATTATCTATTTTTAATTTTTCTCTGCTTTTATTGATCTGTTATATTTTCCTTACATTTAATGTTAATAAGTATTTAATAATGAAATATGTTTTCAACATGGTTTATAATAAATGCTATTTTGTTTTTAGCATTAACTCAATTGTCAACTCCAGTTAATCCAGTTATTAATTGGGATCATATTGGTGATTCTCCATTGGCCCCTCAAGCTCTAATAGATCACAGGTCACTCTCATCTGAGAATTGTGAGAGGAACAATATCATGGGAACGATTGTACAGGATTCAGCTCCTTATCTATTCCCTTTCATCATTGAATACAGTCTCATTGGAGCTGCGGTAATCTATGTAATGTGGAGACACATTGGAAGAAATCCTAGGTAGTATTACTGATATCATTTCATTTTAATAGTTTCCTTATTATACTTTGTAGCTTATCTACAATTTAAAAGTTGGCGTCCGGCCTTGTGCTTGACTTATTAAAACAAATATGTTTAATTATATAAAGTAACCCTTTTAATAGCCAAATATTGATAAATAATAATGAACTAAATATTGATAAATAATTATTAATTAAATATTGATAATTTGATTGTGAAGTTAAGGATTGCAATCACAGTGAAATATAGAAGTAAAAATAATTTTTTTTTTCTTGTGACTCTGTGACTGCAACCCTCAACTAACTCCTCTCCCCAACTGTTTATCAACCATAATTGATAACACATTATTGAATATTGATAAGTTATAAGCACATAGGGTCTCATTACCAAATTAAACAGATTTTTTTAAATAAATCAATTGCAAAGTAGTTTGAACAGTGGTAATAAATTACCAATATTATAAGTAACTATGCTATCAAAGTTTGTATGAATTTCATTACAGTCTTGTAGCCAACTGAATTTGATCATGTTTGTCTCATTTTTAACCTTGGTTCATAATATCAATCAGTATACAGGATATTTCAGGTTTAAGTGGCCAAACTGAAAATATGAATTATCTATCTCAAATCAAGAAAAAAATGTCTATGAAGGTATATCCGCAAATGCTTTGTTTAGGAGCTATTCAAACCTAAGATTTTCATTGTTATGAATTATTTACGTTATATTAAGTAAATAAAACTTATTCATTTGTTCCAAATACTTTAATAATTAAACGTAAACATTAAATTCATATTAAATGTTGTTCAAAGTGATTTCCTTGAGCATTAAGACAGGCTCGGCATCTTTCTTCAACAGCAGCAGTGGCAGAATGGCATTGAATATGTATTATTGTTTCACAAGATTCAATTATCCTTCTTCATAAGTAATTAAGGTCATTGACCGGACTTGCATAGACTTTTTGTTTAATATCACACCAAACAAATCTGGTGTGGTGCGCACATCACACAACTTTCACTTACCACACTCTTCTTAGCAGAAATAAGTATTTTCAAACAAAGGAGAAACGAAAGTAAAAATTATAGACGCTATAATTATTTATATTTCACTGTGCGTATTTTTATTTGTATAAGCACCCTTACATATATATATATATACAAATTTTAATATTTATATCAGTATAATCTATACAATTAAATATTAAATAATACCAACAATAGTATTTATGAAAACTGTATTATATTAAGCTCATTTTGCATATGGAAGACTTGTAATCTTTCGTGCGAGCTCGGGTTCGATCAATTACTACTATTCTCTGTTACAATTTTTTATTTCTCCTTTAGTTAATTATCAAATTCTTTTATATTTTATATTAACTATCTTTTATATTAGGAATTAATGTGAGATAGTCAATTGTTTCAAACAAAAAAAAATTAAAGGTACTTTAGAGGAAGCTGATATTGAAAATTAGCCATTTAAGCCCTGTTAGAGAACATCAATCAGAATAAAAACTACATTTTATTTAAAACTGCTTAATTTTACACTTATATAATGAATTTAATCAAAATCGTTAGAGCCGTTTCTGAGAAAATTGTAAAAATGTGTTTAGCCCATGATATAAAGTGCCACTTCCTGTCAGTCAATTTTGACGAAAAAGTTACTGTAACATCTCTAGCATATAAAAACTTTTTTTTTTTTTTTATTAAAGAAATTTACAATTGTAATTAATAATAAATACAACAAGTAAATATGAACAAGTAACAAGACATGTACAACATGAAGAGAAACTACCCATTGGTAGCACTCCAATTATACACTGACAGGCAAAAAATTCCACCCACTTGTAAAAAAAGTTGTATTTGTATATAATTCATGGTATTTGTAGATAATACTTAGTATTTATGGAATTTTATTATCTTTTTTACCTTTAATAATCAAAATGTGATTGGGTAAGAAAGATTAGAGAAAAAAAAATTGAAAAACGAACCATTATTATTCTAAAAGAAATTAATTACATCATCGTTTAGTAGCGCATGTTTCCTCCTCTTGCCTTCACTACTTCTTGAAGACGCCTCGGCATACTTTCCACCAGTTGAAACAAGGAAATGTTCCTTTGTTGGAGAATAGCCCATTCCTCCCGAAGAGCCCTTTCAAGGTCCTCAAGGTCCTGCAGTGTATCAGGAAGTGTTGCACGCACTCTTGTTCGTTTTCCAAGGTTATCCCATAAATGCTTAATGGGGTTCAAATCTGGAGGACGTGCTGGCCAGGCTAAAACCTCAATGTTGTTCTGTTGAAGGGACGTCAGCACTATGCGGGCGACATGTTGGCGTGCATTAGAATAGAACGATCGCTGATTTCGTTGAGGATAGACAACACATGAGGTTCCAAAATCTCATCTACATAGCGAATGGCTGTCAAATACTCTCCACGAACAACAACCAATTCTGTGCGATACTCCATTGAAATCCCAGCCCACACCATTAAGGAACCACGTTGGAAAGGTTGGCTCTGGGAAAAATTACAAGCTGCATATCTTTCGTTTCTTCTTCTCCACACCCTTTCATGCCCGTCTGGAGATCGAAGAGCGAATCTTGACTCATCTGTAAAAAGTACAGCACTCCATTCGTCCATAGTCCAATGGCTGTGTTCTCGAGCAAAAGCCAGCCGTGTTACTCTGTGAGTTCGGTCAACTCTGGTCCTCTTACTGGACGAAAAGCCATTAATCCATACTCATTTAATCTTCTCAGAAATTTGCACACCTCGAACTTCTTCGAGCTGATGAATCGCTACTGGTATCGGCACTGGTAAGGTGCCGGTTTCGTAAAATTCTCAAAGTCAAAAACCGTTCATCCCGTGGTTCTGTTACCCTAGGCCTTCCAGAATCGGGCCAAGTAAGCCTTCTATTGTAAGAACCAGTTTCCCGGAAATGCCTGACGGCGTCTCGTAAAGTTTCATATGGAACTCCGATGGCATTAGCTGCATATCTAATGGAACGTCCATTATCAATAAGTGCCATACCACGCGCAACATTCTCAGCACTAAGAGGCATTTTTAAACTTAATATTGAAAAAAATTAAAAGCCAGAGACTAAGAAATGTGCTGCAAGAAACAGCACTGAACTAATCATACTGAATAAACATTTTGATTCCATAGAAAATAAACATTGGAATCTAGAATCATTTAATTGAATTAAGGATTAAGGGTTATTGTCCTCTATATTAACATTCCTAATTGAAAACAAACAGAAAGATTACCTATTTATTCATTAAAAACAATAGACCAATCCAAAGCAGAAATATTTTTAGATGAAAACATGAAAAAATCAAGTGGGTGGAATTTTTTGTCTGTCAGTGTATTCCTATATTAGAAGGTCCTGAGGCCATCTTCTTTTCAGACGCCTCGGAGGGTTCTCAGGAATAGAAGAGGAAGCAAGGTTGGAAACGAGAGGGGTCAGGTGGTTCAGAAGTTTATTATGAAAGGACAGGTATCTGTATTGAGATAAATCGGAAACATACGGTATATTAAGGTCATTATGGATGATTTTATTTGTGACAGAGTAGGAAGCATTAAGGATTTTATGAAGGATTTTGGATTGTAGGGATTGGATACAAGAGGAATTTGATGGTTTAGTAGAGCCCCAAAGCTCGATCCCATAAGTCTAAATAGGCCTTATTATAGTAATATATATGAGTCTATTGTAAATAGTTGGCAGTTTAGAGAGTTTGTCTAGTAAGTGCTTGAGTAGTCGGAAACATTGGGCGGTTTCTAGTAATTTCAGTCTGGTACGGGGGTTCCAAGTGAGTCGTTTGTCAAGGTGAAGTCCTAGGTATCGGATTTGGTCAACAGGGATAAGTGGGGTATTGTTAAAGGATACTGTAGGACAGGAAGTCATAGGTTTACGACGAAGAGTAAAGGTAATTTGATGGGATTTATTGGAATTTATTTTAATCCTCTAGTTTTGACAACATTTTTCAAGACTTGTGGTGTGTTATTGAAGAGTTTGGGATGCAATAGATGGATCGTTATTGACTGATAGGATACATGTGTCATCGGCATAGGTGGTGATGACAGTGTTGGAATGGGTTTGGATGTCAGCTGTATAAACTGTATAAACCGCGTTCCAATGCAGAGGAGACTACATCTACCACGCGATGACATTGCTGAATAGTGGAGTGGGATTTGCGGAATCCAAATTGGTGATCTGGGATAATGTGTTTAGAGGCTAGGATGGGATACAGGCGTTTTAAGATAAGTTTTTCCAGGATTTTTCCCATAATGGGTAAAAGAGAGATAGGACGGTAAGAGGATGGGTGTTCCCCCGGCTTGATGGGTTTAGGTATCAATTTGACAATGGATAGTTTCCAAGGGTCAGGAAAATATGTGGTCCGGAGTACAGCGTTATATATATAGGTGAGGAATAGTATGGCTTTTTTAGGGAACAGTTTTAGGATCTGCGGTGTGATTAGGTTATGGCCAAGAGCTTTGCGGGAAGGTAATCTATGAATGATATTGGATATTTCTGAAGGATGAAATGCTTTAGGTGGAGGAGTCAATTGGAGTGGAATATCCAATTCTGCTTCAATAAACTCAAGGTGGATTGGATTAAGGATATCTGGGTGTGGATTAAATGTTTTGAAGAGGTGCTGAGCAAATATTTGAGATTTTTCTTCATCAGATCTGGACCAGGATTGGGTTTCAGTAATAAGTGGATGGTTAAAATCTTTAAATTTAAGGAGCTTTTTAGTGGTCGACCATAATGATTTGTCAGTAGTAGTAAGTTTTTCTGTCATGTTTAGTAAATTTTGAATTTTGTATTTTATAATTTCAGCTTTTAGTTGGTTAGATAAAAACCTTAAATATGCAATTTCACTTTCGTACGACTTTTCATTTTTGAGCTAGACTGTTAACACACAGACATACACACACACACACACACACACACACACACACACACACACACACACACACACACACACACACACACACACACACACACACACACACACACACACACACACACACACACAAATGGTATGTGCCACTGGTCCTGCATTGCCAATCCATTGATTGGGAGAATTAATGTTTAGCCATTGTTGTGGACCTCTTCCGTAACTTGTAGTGGAATATGTTCAAATAAATCATAGTAATCATTATTAAAAAATTCCTGAAATGTACCCGCATTGAGTCGAGGCGGGAAGAAATGTAGAACTAATAAAATATTTTAATGTTTAAATTTAATTAATAAAGTAGTTAGAGCAAATAATTAGGTTTTATTTATTTCATATAACAAATAATTCATAACAACCAAAGTCTTTATGTGTGAATATCTCCTAAACAAAGCATTTGCAGACATACCTCCAAAGGAAATTTTTTCTTATTTTAAAGTCCTTAGTTCATTTTTGTAGTTTGGCCACTTAATCCTGAAACACCCTTTATATACACTAGAAATCTACCAAAATTGAACAAAAACTTTATGGGATAAAAAAAAAAAAAAGAAATTGGTTTTCATCCTTGAATCAGCAGAAGTGCTATAGTTAAGTGTATATTAACTACACAAATATATTAAATTATTTATTTTTTGCATTTGGAGCGTAATATATCCAAGAATGGAGATTATCAGGCTCATTTATCTGTGTCGACCCATCAGGCCACATTTACAAAAGTTTCAGTCATAATTTATATCACTATGTTTGCTATTTCGAATATCATAAATTTATGTTTTATATTTATATTTTATGTGGCTCATTAAAAGTTTTTTATAGGTACCATGGTGAAGAGGAGCTAGAACAAAGGTTGGAAGTGATTTTATCAAGAAGAGCTGTCGCAATGGCTCAGGCACAACATGGTGGACCAATGGACTGTGTTGGTGCTAGCAAAGGATTGTTCTTGGGGCTATTGCTGCTTGTCGGGTCTCTGATATGCCTGATTCTATTTTTTGTTCTGATCCATAATCCAATTCACAGTCTTCTTGCTATTTACCTCGCAGATGTTTCACATTGTATTCTTATGGCTTTATCAATACTAGCTATCATCATTGGCTTCATAAGGTAATTATCTTAAATATAAATTTTATCTCTTACACTATCATTCCAAGTTTTTATAAAATATTTGGCATTTCTTAACACTCCATAAATTTCAAGTTGCAACAATCATAATTGTTTACATAGATCTATATTAAACCCAACTTATGTTCCACTCATACTCTTGGAGGCTACAATTTTTTTTTTTTTCACTTAAATCAGAGGAATTGTGTCCTAGTGATAAGGATGCTCTTCATAAAATCAAAGCTGACAAAATTTGTTAAAGGATTGATCATATTCATTTATTACATATATTTTTCTATAATTTAATCATTCTTAACATTTATAAGTACATTTTTTCAACTCTGCATTATGTACATAATTTCTTTCTTTTTTTTTCCACGTTTATACTGTTGGCTATTAGACCATTCAGCTCCTGGCAGTCCAAAACAGTTTTGCCATAATAAAATTCTATAACTTTATGCTTCTGGTGCTAGTAGCTCTGCTCGTTCATTAAGAAGATTTTACTGAGAACATCTGGCAGAGCGGAACATACTGGGAGGTGCAGGTGCAGGTTGTACATCTTATCCTCTCTATAAAGGTCTTTCCATGTCTCCAATCCTGTGCAAATGCCTTAGCAGGTAACTATCTCTGGTCATCATGTGAAAACACGCCACCAATACTTTCCTACTTTGTGTTGATTTAATCAGTTCCTCTGTTAAATAATCCCATTTGTTCCAAGTTGTCTATTGTTACCTGGTATGGGTAACTCTGCTCGCGTCCGTACATTTTGTAAATGCCCTCTGGTTAAAACTCAATGAGCTATGTTGTCCCTGGGAAGACACAATTCCATGTAAATAAAGAGAAGAGACATATGAAGTTATTGTAACTAAAATTGTCCAAAGAAAGTTTGACTTTATTCCCTTTTTTTTCTTTCCCTTACTAGATATTATATTTTGATATATAAAATATTTTTAGTGACGTATACATTTTTTTTTTTTTTATTAAATAAATACCATGGGTTTATTGCAAAAATTTATGAATTACAATTTTAATGGAGTTTTTTTTTAGTACATCTATGTACAGTGGATCAAAAAAGTATTGGCCCACTTAACCTTATTTAGGTTTCACTGTTAAAAAATCCAAAATCAATTTGTTAAAGATTTTTATTTAATAATATATTGAGAAAAATACATAACTGGGTAAAATAAAATTTAATTTACTTAATTAAAAAATAAAGTAAAAGAAAATTCATTTCAACATGGTCAAAAAAGTATTGGAACACTTTTATTTGAGGGATATTTCACAAACAGGATATGTATTAATATTTTGACATCTATATCCTGAAATCTTCCCAGCATGGACAAAACAAGATTTTAAGTTACATCTTGTCCATTTTATGCCATTCCTCTGACAAATTTTTTTAAAAATAATTGTTTAAAGAAATTTTATTTGTTCTTACTTTCAAATCCAACTGATACCATAGCCATTCTATAGCATTTATGTTCGGAGACTGTGATGGTGTTTTCAGTTGGCTAAGAACATTGTACAACATCCATTATTTTGTTTTATTTTTTGTGTGCATGGCATCATTGTCCTGTCGGAAGATAAAAGTATCTTTGATCCTTGTATTTTCGGCTTTACTTGTTAATTTATGTCGCGAAATGTCAAAATATTATTCATCATTCATAATATTGTCAATAAAGGTTAAGTTTCCAACACCATTCCGGGACATACCCCCTCAAACATGGACCCTTCCACGTTGATGTCTTACAGTGGGCCTCACGTGTCGTGCTTGCAACTCATTGGCAAGTTTCCACCAAACGTACTTGTGGCGATCAGAATGAAATACATTAAAAAAATTTTCTTCTGAAAAAATAACATTTTTCCAGAATTCCACATCTTTATTAACTACAATTCCACATCATTAAGTTTTGACAAACTCAAGTCTTTTTTTTTTTGCAGTTCACTGCAGTTTACTTTGGAACCAGTCATAATAATAATATTTATGAATTTGATTTCTATTAGAAGGTGGTATTTGAAGTAGATGCAAGCTCTTTTGCAATCTTTCCTTTATGCCCTTTCAGTAAATTTTCGTGGCCGTTCTGAATGAGGTTTGTTTAAAACTTTCTAAACTGTTGTTCAATATTCTGAACACTACTAAAATCAATTTCTAATTTATTCATGATTGTCGATATCTAAGTCCATTAGAATGTAATTTAACGATGTGGTTTTTAAACTGATACAGTATTGACTGGTTTCAACCATGTTGTTATGGTGAATATACAGCAAAAACTGATTTTTATTATTGTCATTGTAGTATTGTCATCAATCCTCATTTCTAATCTCTTGAAAGAAAGAGGATTAATTTGCTTTGTCTGGAGCTAATAGTAAAATTTCAAACTATGCCACTACATTTTTGACTCTCGAAATTCAATCTTTATGTTTAATTTAAACATAGCTTTTGAATTACGAACATTCATTGCTTCTAAAATATAATCCTCAAAGGTCACTTTGTTATATAAATATTATTTCTGACAATTATCTTAATCCTATTATAATTTACAGAAATATTGGAGTGTGCTAATACTTTTTTGATCCATTGTATATTTATGTATATCTATATTTTGATCATTTTTATCATTGGAAAAACTCATTAATTGCATCAAAAGAACACAAATGGAATTATATGTCAAAAATAGTTACATTAAGTGCACATTATTTGAATTTAACAGAAAGAAAATTCATCAAATTACTTAATGATTTGATACCCTTAAAAAATATAGTAAATACTATACATTATAGATACTTAGTGATTTTATTGTTAAAACCATTTAATGACTTTTTACAATTAACTGAAGATATATTAGTACTTCTCTTGTTTTCATACTAAATTTTTTTTTATTTTTATTTTATATCAATCTCTGTAACTTATGTCATTTGCTTTTATGCAAATTTGTATATTTTCATATTGTGATATTGGATAGGAAATAAAAAGGCCAATCTCAAATGTAAGCTGAAATAAAATTAATTACAATTATTGTTGTAGAGTTCAAGGATTAAAATTTAAAGGAGAAGAACAGAGTGATCTCAATGATATCCTACTACGTGTATCGGCATTTGGTCTGTTTGTTTATTCTGTATTTAGCATAATTGCTGGATCTCTCGCTGCACTAACCAGTGAACCAAATCTTTTAGTAATGATAACTGGAATACTATCAATTGTTCAGGTATGTTATTTCAAAAGTTATTTATAATTGAATGTCATTAGAGAAACACACACAAAAAAAGGAACTTTCTGTAAATTCAAACTGCTTTAAGAAATATTGTTTGTATTTTAATGTATGCAATTAGAGTTCCACATGTTCAAACAGAAAAAAAAGGGTTGACACCAGAACTCTATCACTGAAGTCTTATTCCTCCCTTAATTTTTGTCTGAAAAACAGATGAGAAGTATTACTGATTTAATTAATTCTTACTAATTGGTTAAAATATCGAAAAGAATTTAAATATGAACTGCTGAATTTCTTTTTCCTCTTTTTTTCCTGAATTCAATTTATAGGTTATGATTTTGGGTGGGGAGAAAATTTTGAGATTTCCAAAAAGTATATATCTACGTATAATTCACACAAAAGTTTTGAATACTTTAATTCAATTTGAGGGATGTAAAGGTGTAGGAAACTTTAAAAAGCTTGGAAATGTGAATGAAATATAGCAAGGATGCAGGAAAAAAAATAAGACTCCCAAAAGGCAATATTATATATATATATATTGAAGTATATAATATAACATCCAGTTGTGTACACTGTTATTGTTGAAATGTATGAAACTTTTAATTTTTGTATCAATGATAGGTATTGTTTTTCCATAACTGAAGAGGATCCCATTATTTATATATATATATATGTATACAGATCTTTGACCGTGAGTGTGGTCTCCTACCACATCCCGATTCCCGATCTAAAGTACGGAGTAGGGTCAATCCTATTCCCGGTCGGTGTCAGTTGCCTCTAATGAAAATATTTCAATGAAAAGAAATTCAAGGTTGCGGTCAACAAACACATATTATGTTGGTGGCCTATGTCTTGACTTATGTCAATGGTCAGGGCTACTTACAAAATAGGTTTTGGCATAGACTATAAATGGGTTTCCCCTGATGGGTTAACTAAGAACCAAATAGATCACGTCATGATTGAAAAAAGGCATGCTACAGATGTGACAGATGTTCGAAGCTTCAGAGGCGCTGACTGCTCATCAGACCACTATATGGTCATAATACAATACTGCCAAAGGATTGCCAACCAACCAAAGGGACAGACAGCAAAAACCAAGAAGTATTGCTTGAAGAAACTGAAAGATCCTGACGAGAAAAAGAGGTATGCAGAAAGAGTGTCTGTAAAACTACGAGAAGCTATAGATGGAAACGAAGATGTGGAAGCTAGATGGACCAAGATGAAGAAGTGGTAACAGAGACAGCTAATGAAACCCTATTAATAAATCGTGGGAATCCCCAGAGCACATGGTTTGATGAGGAATGCAGGAGGATGGTAGAGGAGATAAATAGGGCCAGACCAGCAGTGCTTCAAAGAAGGACCAGAGCAAACGTAGAAAGGCATAAAGCCCTAAGGAGAAGAGTCAAGACCATGTGCAGAAAAAGAAAGCGAGATGCAGAAAAAGCCAAGTTCCTCCAAATGAAAAAGGTGTGTGGGGAGGGAAATAAAAGGAAGTTCTTCGGTATCCTTAAAGAACAAAAGGGAGAATTCAAGTCAAGGATAGGCTTTATAAAGAATGATAATGGTGAGCACCTGGGAGACCTGCTGGATGTTGTTAATAGGTGATCTCAATATTTCGAGAATCTCCTAAATCCAGAAATGCCTGAAGAACTCGTTTTAAGCCCACCTAGGTACATCGGATCAGCACATGTAATTACAGATATTATTGAACCTCCAGAGAAGGAAGAGGTTGCAGAAGTTCTTTTATCTTTAAAAAATTACAAGGCCTCTGGAAAGGATGATTCCTGCAGAGCTGTGGAAGCATGGAGGAGAAATGTTGGACAAGCAAATGTACCATCTGATTTTTGACATCTGGATGTTAGAAGAGGTACCTAAAGACTGGTCCACTACATTTATGTGCCCAGTTTATAAGAAGGGAGACAAGATGGAGTGTGAAAACTACAGAGGTATTGTGTTGCAGCATACAAAGTTTTCTCCATTCTGTTGATGAGCAGGATTCTCCAGTATTCTGAGAGAGAGGTCGGGGAATACCAGAGTGGATTCAGAAGGGGTAGATCCACTATAGACCATATTTCAAGCATAAGGATCATGCTGGAGAAATGCTATGAATATAATATTGTCTTCACTACCTCTTCATAGACTACAAGCAAGCATACAACAGTGTAGACCGAGGCAAGTTGTATCAGGCAATCGCAATGGTGTGTATACTGGAAAAACTAATAGGATTAGTGCGTGTGTGCGACCTTTTTTTCTATACGGGATTTTTCCGGGCCAGGGAGTGTGGGCGGGGATTTAAAAGACTTCCTCGGCACCAGGACGCAAACTCGTGACTTATTTTTATATCATTGGATTCATATGTCAGGTTGCCAGGCAACGGCGGTGCAGTGCACACGCTTTAGCCCATTCGGCCACCCCGCCCACTGCGTGCGTGCGACCTTGGAAGGGACACAAGGGAGAGTGAAAATACAAAGTTCAAGTTCCAATAGCTTCCATATCAAAAAAGGATTAAGACAAGGATGTCCCCTATCTCCCATCCTATTCAACATTGTTTTGGAAATAGTGATAAGGGCCATTAGAACAAATCCTTGGGGGGACCATCTATAATCGACTGACCCAGCATCTTGCCTTGGGGATGTTGTCATTACTGGTTGTACACGTGCATCCTTAACAGGAGCTTTCGCAGAATGTGAACAGACCTCAAAAATAGCACGACTCAGTATTAACGAAACCAAAACTAAATATAGGAAGACCTCCCTGGGTGATTTTGGGGCAAGGAATGGTCTTAGAACTGGAGAATACTTTTTCGAGCAGGTACAGGATTTTAAATATCTTGGGGCCAATGAAAAGAATGACATCAGGCAGAAATAAGATCACACATGATGGCCGGAAATAGATGTTGCTGGACGCTCGGAAAAGTACTTAGGTCATAGGTGTTGCCCTCTGGCAGTTAAAGAAGGCCGTATATGTCACCGTTATTAGACCAGTGGTGACATATGGAAGTGAGACATGGATCCTCACCAGGAAGTCAGAGCAAGTACTGAACGTGTGGGAGAGGAAAGTCCTGAGAAGGATTTTTGGCCCCTTGAGGCTCCGGTGAAGGCAGATAAACAATCAAGAGCTCCATGATCTATACAAAGCCCCGGATATTGTCATCTGCATCAAGACGAGTAGAATTAGGTGGCTGAGACTTTTGTAGAGAATGGAGGAGTGGCGTATCCCGAAGAAGCTTCTGGATTACGTGGAGGAGGACCTGAGGACACTTGGAGTCCGAAGGTGGAGAAGAGCGGCTTTGGACAGGGACGAATAGCGGAGAATTGTGGAGGAGGCCAGGATTCTACAAGGACCGTAGTGCCATCGAAATAAGTTAGGCTATAAATAAATACTACTCTAACATAGTTTGTAATTTTTGACTGCACCCTCTGACCAACTACTACAACTATTCCTTAAATTATTAGTACAATCAATCATTTCAGAATAGGAATATATCCATAGATCTTAAAATAATAATTCATTGAATAGACCTACAACTAGTTGTTAAACATGTAAGCTAGTACTGCAGTTAGATATTATATGTTATTAAGTTGTTACGCATGTGGGAAAAAAAAATCTTTTGAAAAATCAATGATCATACTTAAAGAAAGGAATATTTATCCTATAAATACAAATGACAATGAGGAAGTTTTATGAAACACTAGATATTATTTCAACAAATGATAATTGAGAGAATCTCAATTGGAAGAAGGTCTAGACTTTGTTGGTTGCATAATTTAGAGGATCATTGAACTTTAGGTCTTGAAGGATGTAGATGGGTAGCCGAAAATACCTACTGAGTGAAGGTTGATTAGAGGCTAAGGTTTTACAAGAACCATAGTACCATTGGATAATGATAATGACTTGCTTTGATACAAAAATGTTTATTAGATTTTATAATTTCTGTTCTTGATTAAATTGCATTCAATGAACATCGCTCTTTATAATTTTTAATATTATCTATAGAATTGATCAAATCAAAAATATTTTATCAATATTTTTAGGTAGTTTTACAATTGCTGTTCATTGCTGATGTATCAAGAAGACGTGTGCATTTACCTGAACATGACAGAAGCAAACCTGGCCGTCAAATAGTAACATTCCTTCTTATTGCTAATGTTACAATGTGGATTATTTACACATTTGAGACTCAAAAGGTTGTTGCTAATCCAGTACAGGTAAGAAATTTGAAACAATTATTCAATTTCAAATATGTTACATTTTTTATATCAATATGAGGTTATTGATTTCAGTTGGAGTTTTATGGATTTCTTGCTTGGTCAATGGTTCAAAGGGTTACCCTTCCATTATGCATTTTCCACCGTTTTCATTCAGCTGTAACTCTAGCAGAGATATGGAAAACAAGCTACAAGCCCAGAATCGATTAATCCATCCTTTTTTTGAGCTATTTTGGTTGTTATGAATTCATTTGAATTTTTATAACAATTTCTGCCACAATCAAAAATAAGTAGATAGTGAAGCAAAAAAATACGGCTTTCAATGTATTCTTTTTTTGCTTGAGAGAACCTTTAGCAGATCCCACACTGGTTGTTCACTGGAAAAAGCCAATTTACAATTTTGCCAATCATAAAAATTACAAAAAAAAAAGCCAAAATATGTTTGCTCAAGTGCATTGGACAGTATAATAAACTTGTGTAAAAAGTAACTCAGTGGTAATTGTACATCGGCTTCCAGGATACTGTGTGTCATAATTGTAAGATTTATATATACTAATAAAAATTTTGATAAATTTAATCATCATTTATTATTAACATCAATAAATTATTATTTATTTAGTATCTTTATTGCATCAATGATGCAAAATCAAAAATGATTTGACATTGGATTTGTTTTATGTTATTATATATCGCCTGCAACAAATTTCTAATAAATGATTAATAATTATATTATTGTAAACTAGACAGGTGCTTATTGGATGTCGCCACTATCTTTATATTTATCTGATACTCCTGAACATATAGTATGTAGATATTAGAATAGAATGTGAATGTTGTAACTCAGAATAATATAAATATAACGTCAATATCAACATATTCTTTTACGCACATTTATTTAGGTGCCATATGTTTTGATATTAGGTATATTTTATGCCATGACAAGAAAGTGAGTATAACCACAACAGTTTCTATTCTCATTATTAATTCATAGTAAATCAAAAATGTTACTTAATTATATGTATCCATTGTGACAATAGGATGTAACTTTTTTTCTATTATTTCGTTAATATGATAATTGTGATTATCATTGAACACAACCGGCTACTATAAAATTTATTTCTTCTGGTATATTTTTTTTTTGGAACTAACCAAAATGTCATATTATACCAGTTTCTAAGATCTGATTTAATGTTTATATGAATTATATGGGTCCATTACGTTGTGCAGTTATTGATCTTGACTTTTTTAAAAATTTAGATTCTGTTAGAAATTTTTTAAATAGGTTTTATTTTCCTATGTAAAATTAAAAAAAAATATTCTTGGTGGTAATTATATGCACAGACACACAGGGTTCTCCTCCCTTGTTTATTTATTTTTTTCTTTTTACTTTGTATAATAGTCTAAATTATTAATGTACATTGAATGCATTTAAATATAATATATTGATATGTTAGATAATCAAGCTTGGTTGAAGTCTTGTAATAGTAATAATGCACTCAACCCTAGAGAAAAATGTACCTGACAGCTGAATTGATGGTCTGCTAAATCTTTGTTGGAGATCATGCAATAGTATTTCATATTAATGTAATCTTTATTTTTAAATCATAATTTTTTAAATTAAGAAACAAAATTTTATCAATATGAAAGTATTTAAATCTCCTTACCAAATGAATGGGGACTGATTCATTGATCAATATAAATTGTAAATTCTTATATAACTGATGAAATTTTTGCCGTTCATAAGTGTGGCATTGATCTTAATAATAAACTAACTATAGAGAATTTTTTTTCCCCCTGTGTGTTGAGGGTTTATGTAGAACACCACAAAATTTATTTTGATAGCATAAGGACTATGTTTGTTCTAATGACTTTTACCTTGTACATAGGATTGATAAATTCATAGATGTGATATATTTAAGAGTTTATTGTAATTACTTTACCAAAGTATTTAGAATATTTATTGCTATATTAACTGTAAATAGTTTACATCATTTTATTTTCATGTGTTTGATGTGACAATTATATTGTAAATTTTGTATTAAGATTGTTTTAAATAACAAGTAAAAGTATGTTTTGTTTACTTTGAGGTTTAATTTAATCTGAACTGAATTATTTAATTTGTGTCTAGCATATAAGATTTTTGTTCTTCAAAAAATTTGTTTTCTTATTGTGGGTCCAACTTTAATTAAATTATTATTTATAATTAAATGAAACCCAACATTTGGACATTGTTAGGCATTAAGTAAGAAAATACAGTAAATATTAAATATTAATGTTCATTAACTTAAAGTAAATGTTTAAGAAACAATATCAAGTGTTTTTGGAATCATGGCTGAATCGTAGCCATCGTGATTACAATTTTATATTTTTAAGTTTCAATTTAATGTAAATTATAAATAAGGTACCTAATGAATTATGATAAATGTATATTTGCTATATGTTAATGTGAAACTTGTAAAGTCCATTTTATGCTTTAAGTGCATTTATAAACCATCTATTAATATATTTATCATATTTGTATATCAGATCAATAAGCAGTTCAATTATTTTTTGTATTCAATTTTTTACCCTCTTGATCATTAATACCATTTCCATCAAACTGCCATGTTAATTTTTTATTTTTTATTTATATCATAATTTATGCTATTGAAGTAAGAAAAATAATGAATGAATTGTACCCCTTGTGTGTTTATTATATGTGCAATAAACACAATGTTATCGATTGTAATATTTTATATATTTAAACTTTACTTAATCATGAACAAAAGTTTTGCTAGATTATAGATTTATTTTTAAAATATTTCTTAATAAGGTAAGTGGTTTATTAAGCTATTGATATAAGAAAACACAGAAGTCTTATTTAATTGCATTTATCAAAGGTAATAGAAATCACTGCCGAGCTAAAGACCACTTTTTCAGGTATCAAATGATTATTCATTAAAAAATAAAATAAAACAATTATGAAATACAAGGAAAATAAAGACATTTTGATGTAATTACAAACACATTCTGAAAAACTTATGATTATTAGTAGCTTTTTGAAGTCTAGGAGTTTTCTGGTTCATAATTGAAAATGTAGTCTTGCTCATGGTCAGTATTTCCTATAAATGAATCTGAAAAAAATACTTTATTACTGTTCAATATTTTAATGTTAATGTTAGTACCTACCTATTTAAGGAAAAGAATTTAGTGTATTTTAATCCAGAGAAAACAATTGTTAGTCATGTATTTACATTTAAAAATTTATATTTATTTTTTATTCTAATAAAAAAAAATGGAAAAGATTTACTTATGACTAATGTAATATAAAGGTCTTTTTTTACCGAAGGTTGTATCAACTATGATGCTGTTATAAATGGAAATAAATATGGAATTGTAAAATTTGATAACATTTTATTTCATGTAGTTTTTAAGCTTCTTCTTTTGCTTGTAAATGGAGAGAATCGACAAGGTCGGGCTCTCTTGGCTGTTTATGTTAGTTTTAGTTCCCCACCAGTATTTCCACCCTAGTTTTTTAGATTTCCCTTCTGGTCATTCAGTTTTCCACTCAAGTAGAGCTTAAAAAAATCCTAATTGTTCCCTTTAGTCAAAATCTAAATATCTATTCATATAATGAAGATATATAGTCATATTTTAGGTAATTAATTAAGTTGTGCAGTTACAACAGCCATAATTTGGGTTTTATAATGTTATTAATATTTTAATACGTCTATGTATATTTTTATTTTAATAATATAGAGTGAAAAATCAATATAGCTTTTAGATGATCTCTATAGAGAAATAGTAAAAATTCATTCCTCGATTCTTCCCACTACTTGCTGATCCAGGATTTAATTTTGGGGGGCTTCAGCCATAAAGCTCCTCATACCCTCCTCCCCATGGATCCGCCTGTGCTACCCATAAAAAATATAGCAAAGTTGTTAAATTCAATATTTTGATAATTTGTCTTCTTAATCAATGCCTAAAAAAAAATACTTCATAGTTGAATTAATAAAGCTGGGAGAGTACAATGGCACATTTAACTTTTATTGTAAAAAGTGTAATATTGGTAAACTTTTAAATATCTTTGAATGGAAAATTGTTCACTGTGGCTCATTCATAATCTTATAAGAAGAAATTCTCTAATAAAGTAACAACTATTTTTTATCAATTTCATATCTGAATATATATATATATATATATATATATATTTATATCCGTGGCACCTATGAAAAGTGGGTTAAGTGAAATTTTTGTTCGTTTTTATGGGTATCACCAGAAAGCTATTTTTCTTTCTTTCTTTTTCTCTAATGGGCTAAGTTATGCAGGTATTACAGAGATGAACATTTCTTTGTGAATCATGAGTTGAAACTTTAAAATTGAACTTGTACCAGTGAAAATTCCAAGCTTTCAATTGTGTTTTCCCATAAATATGATTTTTGTACCTAACGCATTATGCAAAGATGCCACAGGTATATAAGACTTATTTAAAAGTAATTTAATTTTATTAAACATTGGTAGTATCAATACAATATGTAGATCAATTACTTGTTTTATACCTGGTTTACTTATCTGATTGTATAAATAAATTAAATTGGACCCTGAGATTAGGCTAGAGTTTGATAAGAAGGGAAATGATTCCCTTTTAAAACTGTCTTCCCTCCAAGCCATGCAATTTTCATAAAAAGGGATTTTTTATCCTATAAGTACAACAAAACCTTTTATTCTAATCAAAATGGGAAGGTTGAGATACATTCAAAGATATTTCAACCCACCCAGTCAATTTCGAACAAGCGTCATTTGACTCCATAATATTAAAGCATAAACAGAATGTTAAAGTATAAACTTTAACAAAACTGTTTCCAAACTAAGGCTCTCAAGCACCAATTTTAACTCACCTGCTGAATTCAAATTCCTTATGTTCCACATATTAATATCTAAATAACTATTTTTCAACTTGTGCCATGTATTCCTCTAAGCAGTCCCCACGGAGAGCCGAACGAGGAATTAGTTTATCTCCGGATAATGAGCGTCTTACCTTATGGAAATACTAGACTATTTGTGGTTTATGATGAACTAAAGATATGTGAGTCAAGACTACGTCTCACCCTCCATCAAGCCATCCATTGAAGATTCCTGCCTAACATATTCGGCCATCATGACCTCACTTACTTATATATCATATATATACACAGTAAGCAAAATTATTGGGATCATCAACATTTTCGAATTCTAGTTTTCAACAGAATACACGTTTTGAGGTTCTCTCAATCCAAAAAACAAGTTTCGCAAAATAGTCCATTTGTGAATGTCAGCAGCTTAGCTCAAAATTAAAAAGTATGTAAACTTCATATATAAAATAGAACAGAAACTTTTTTATCAAAATCAACTCACCGAAGGTGGTTCTTTATATAATAGAATTTACTCATTTTTACAATTTTCTCGAAAGCGGCTCTTACTATTTTTATTAAACTCATTATATTTAATCAAATGCTTAAAATCAAGTAGTCATTAATATTAGACTGGTATTATGTTCATTGACATAGTCAGAGAGGGATTAAAGGCCATCTACAAAGATATATTTTGCATATCATATGGTATACAATCTCCTTCTGGTTCCTGAATCTTCCTAACTGAAAGAAAAACAAGTTGCATCGATCAAGAGGACGCCTCTGCTGCAGGTCATCAGAACATATAAGGCAATGTCTCACGAGGCAATACAGGATTTAGAAGGGTAGATATTTCTGGATCTTCTCCTGCACGAAGATTTGATCAAATAGGCTTGCAAGAGAGAAGGGTCGGTAGATATTCCGAAGGACCTCCAAGTCAGAATTGAGGAACAACGTAATATATGGAAGACAGTATTAAGAGAAGCCATCCTAAAGAAGATTATTCCCACCATTCGATATCGGCCAGCTAGCAGATGGGTGCAATCTGACTATTGATTTTCTCAATTCTTCAGCGAACGAGGGAGTGTTGGGAGCCAAGTTGTAGTCTTACAAAAGCATCCTTAACATCCTTTCAATTTTATTTACCATATGTAGTGAATCTTTGATAAAATGCGAGACAAATTATAAGGAAAAGACAAATATTTTTGGGCCTAACATAAAAACTACACATTTTATGGTAAAATGTATATATAATCTTTTGAAAGGTAATTAAATTCATTATATAAATAAAAAGAGGGAGTGGGGTAGCTCAGTTATAGGGGCACTGATCTTCCAACAAGGTCCCGGTTTCAAATCTCGGCTCATGGCAGAAAAATTATTTATTCTGTTTCATCAGCCATGGGGCAACCCTGAGATCAGGAGATCCTTCTGGCACACACCCAGCCTATAAAGTGGGTACCCTTCGTTAAATAATTATTAATTAAGGGAAAAAATCTGGAGGTTGAGCGTGATCTCAGTCAAATCACCTTGCACAACCATTGACTAAGAAACAGTATCTTCCCTAAATAGTACTGAATCCAAGACCCATCATGGGTTGTAGTGGTACAGATAAAACTAAAAAAAAAAGCGTCCATAACGTACCAGTTTTAGAAAAATTAAATCATAATGAATACATTGATTTTAAATATACTTGTTTATTTTTTTAATTATTCGAATGATAATTATATTGTCATTAAAGCCAAGCCCTAATGCATACAAAAACAATAAAATCTTAAGACCAATATGAGTATAGATAAGTTTAAATCTTTTTGAGTTTAATTTACCCTCCAAAACTTGAAATGGAATGAACATAGTATGAAGTCGAAGGCTTTCAGTTTTTAGAAAAAGCTTAACATTATGAGACAATCAACCGTAAGGTATTTTTATTTATGAACTGTTTTCATGTAATTTAGCTTGTGAACTAAATGTGGATGTGGATTATACTAACTTTAAATTTTCGGCAGAATGACAAATCGCACGTGGTTGAAAATCGGCTTTTTTTCAGAAAAAAAACAACCCTGAAAATACTAATCTATAATTATTAGAAACATAATAATCATAAGTAAATTTTCTATAAAATATCTACAGTGGTACCCCATTTAACCGGCTCTCCGAGTTAACCGGAGGTAAAAGAGATGAATAAATTTTTTTTCTCTAAGAATAAGATAGCTTCATTTAACTAAATTATTGAAACAAATGAGCTCGTTGTATTGATTTCAACCGATCTTGACCTGTAAACTTATATTTATAGAATTAATTGGGTAGCAAACCAATAAAGGAAAGATTAACAGTGTAACAAATAGTGAAAATTTTAATATAGTGTGAAAGAAAAGAGATTATGTATTTTACGTTTTTCAATAGCCTAGAATTTTATTGTATTTATTACTTTTATTTTCAATCATCATATTCTTTCAAACTTCATATTTAGCCATTTTTTATAGTTACTGTTAATAAAAGACAATCAATTTCTTTCAATAAACCATATTAAAGGACTTTAGAGGAAGATATATATGATCATTGAACATTGTAAAGTGACATCAATAGGAATAAGATCTATATAATATTAAGGACCACTTAATTATGCAATGATAATTATTGGTCCATATATGGATATTCATAAAATCGAGTTTAATCAAAATCGTTAAAGCCGTTTTTGAGAAAATTGTAACAATATGTTTTAGCGTTGATATAATGTGGCACTTCCGGTCAGCCGATTTTACGGGAAAAGTTGCTGTAAGATCTGAGTCATATACCTATCTTAAATACGTAATATCAGTTTCGTAGAACTTTTCGTTTTTGAGCTAGACTGTTCACATACATATACACCGACCATTTTTCAGGACTTGGTTATTTAGACTCAAAACGTGTATATCAGTTGAAAACTTAGATCCGAAAATTTTCACGATTACAATACTTACCCTTACTATATATTACATATATAGGTAAGTGAAAGTAAAAACGTATAAATTAGTAAATTGTTTAACACAAAACTACTTTTTTGTGTTTACTTGAGTACTTTTTTGTTATTCTAAAGGGACTTCGTCCCAGAATAAAATTATTTTGTATTCTAATAAAAGTTTATGAATAATACATAACAGTTTCCTTGGTAGTATTTACATTTATAATCTGAATTTGAAACCAAAATTATTCCTAATTACGCAGACACGTGTAATAAATAACATATTAAATTACGTAATAAATAACTTAATTCTTGTAATTAGGAAACATTAGATGAAATTCGAGGCAAAAATCAATTCCAAGTTTGTTTTGTTTTTTTTTGTTCGAAGAATCTCTAATTATCAAAAATGCGGACAAAGTTTATAAGCTTAATGAGTATATATGGGATCTAGCAAACCGCGGTGTGTCTCCTGATAAAGAAAACTCCAAAATCATAAAGATAAACATTCGGCTATTCTTTGAACAGTTTAGGAAACAGTGAGCGGGATCGTTATATACATATCACCATCATAAACTT